AAACATGTGCAAATCTCCGAAACCATTTTTTCGTGAACACTGCCTTTATACAGCTCTGCGGTTCAAAATAGTAGTCACTGACGTTGAGAGTGAAATCAATTACTAAAAAGCAAAATGGACGACTCACCGGTTCTATCGGTTCAACAACACGTTCTGATGGTTGTTGTACTGGTATGGACATCGGCATTTCATATACTGGCTGTACCACAGTTGCTTGTGGTATTGCTGCAGCCGAAACTTCTATCTGAGGGCTGATATAACCTTCTGAATAGTTAAATAAATTTACTTTGTAACTGATATACATATTTCAATAGGAAACTGGTAATTAGAGTCGTTGGATTTCCCCGGTAGTATAGTATTTCTCAAGCTGGACTCGAAGCATCTCGAGACTCCGATTTTTGGTTCAACTTCTATTGCTTGACGATGGAGAAAGCTAAACCTCCTGATGTTCTATAAAATTCCCACAGGGGCTTTAGCGTTCATCAAAAAAAATTGCAATGTCAGAACATCCCTGAAAAGGGGAGGCGCCTTCAGTTTACTCCTACCTGTGCCCGTGTTTCGCTGTAGAGCACACTTTTTCATAAATCGAGCCCACCTCGCTGAGTGAGGATAAATGCATCCCTATTACCTCTTCTTTCTGAGCTCTCAAGAAATATCTCAGGGACAACCTGGTTGCGCAATGATATTGCAGTCCCCCCAATTCGGAGTTGAACCTACGTCGTCATTGATTTGCAGACCACGACTTCAGGGTGTTGTGTATTCTTGCAGTTACCTTTTGAGGATTAACCCTCCTCGGAACATTTTTAAAAAAATAAATGTAGAAAATACAAATGCTTGTTTACCTTTGCCGATTCCAGAGGTTCCTTCTATAGAACGTGATGGCCCCGTGAGACCTGCAATTAATACCAGCTATGCTCGAAGTAAAATGAACTTTATCACTACTCATTCATCATTTTTCCTAAATGTAGGTGGTTTCTGAAAGATTATTCATACTAGACCCATAGGGCTTGACTTCCAGAAGGAACCTTGTCTCCTTCTGAGTTGAGCTCAAGAAAAAGAGGTTCCTGAGCTTTCAGAAACATGTTATCCGAGCTTTACCGGAATTTCTTAAGAGAATTGCTAGCAGCGACGGCAGATAGGCCTGTTTGGGATACGCCACGATGGTCGCAGTCGCTGACGAATTTTGGTTGACCGGGCCAGTACTACCGTTCTCCTAGGCAGCCGTTTATGTGACCGACTAGTTTCACACCCCTTATGATAAGAATGAGCAGACCTCGAATTTTTATTTAAACCAAAGAAAAGCTCGTAGAGCCTCTTCCATGAGCAGATTTTTGGATCATATCTCCATGAGATTAAGTTAGTTGGTCTGTGGAGGTGAAAATCAACCAATGTGGGCTCACCGGCATAATCTAATAGGGTCATTTACTCACGCAATACTCAGCGGATAAGTAATAACTCGCCCGAGGTTCAAAAGACTTCTCACAGTCAGAAATCAGCTCTTATTAAGGGGGGATGATTTCTGACCGCTGCTTTTAGTAAAAAAAGAATACCCAGAGAATCTATGTTTTGATTGACCTTGTACTACCACTACACAAGGGATAAGGTTCCATAAATATAGGTATAAATCTAGTAAAACTCACTGTCATATCCCGTTCTCAACGGCTCTGGATACGGAGATGGAGATGGTGGTAGTGATGCCTTTGCTGGATGTGCATCAATCGAAGGATTCGAAGCGATTTTAGCGAATCTTCTATATCTCCATCTATTGTTGCCTTTAAACAGGTCTTCTAATGCCGACAGTGCATCCAATCCCTCCAGTCCCGCAAGCCCCACTTCCCACAAATCTCCCATTCCTCCCAATTCTCCAATTCCTCCCATACCTCCCATTCCCCCCATTCCGTTCGGACCACACATGACTGAAGCTCCTCCACCACAACGAGGGACTGACGGTTGCCTGTAACACGACAGTAGAGATTTGTTGCAAATACTCGTAAAAAAAGAAAAAATAAGAGAGATTGAAAGTCCTCTAAGTAATACTGACTTCAACGTGATATTTCGTTAACTGTTGGAATCGCCGCACTATGCGATACGAAAGTCTCACAAAGTTAGCGAGTTCACAAGGTTGGCGAGTTGTGGACAAAAATTTGGTTTTGGACGGGACTAGAACCCCTTTCTCGTGCTTCCCGGGTACATTTTGGTGTCTATTGAGTTCATTTGGTTGTCGAAGTTGCCTTTAGTACGAAAGCGAAAAAAGTTGAAAATCTATTTTTGGAATACATCATTGATAAGAGGTCATAATGAAATAGGAACCATCATCGGATACGAATTTAATGGGAGAAACTCAACGAGGAGCTCCTGCTGACGAACAGATAAGCTTGGCTGCACCTCCATATACCATTCTATGTTAATCCCTGTGAAATTTTAATGTACGGCTTTTGGAAAAGTGATAATCACCAGATACTTCGGTCTCAAAACCAGTTCTCATGTCAGCTATCCGAGAACAGGAGCTGATCCAGAAAATGATTAGGACCATCCAATGGAGTAGTGGCAAAAGGCGCCTTAGATCGAAAGAACAAGCATATTGTCAACTTTAGCCTTGGCCAACCAAATCTTCCATCCTTCAGGGTTACAAAATTGATATTAGACTTGTCTGTAGAAACGAAAATATCTGTTCGTACATCAACTGGCTCTCGCATTTCAATGCCTAATTCAAAAACGCATTGAAATGCTATTATGATTCTGTATAGAAATCAAGCAGGTCGGCGCATCTCCCATCCCCTCGAAAAAGGTTCAACACTCTGGGACTGAACTATCAGTTCTGAAGAGGGTTTGCGAACTCCGTTATCTAACAGTTACACATCCGATACTACATACCTAGATATCTGAGTTCAGCCAGTGTGTAAATGAGCCAATACGAATATTCTACGGCCTACTGGAGATATGGTTGGGAAATAGTCTAGGAAGAATATTTTATCCCGCTGAACACTTTGAAAAAGTCCAGCTTCTAAGCCTCTGTTACCGTTGACGCCTGTAAAAAACAGAATTCCTGTGGTTTCCGCATGGTTAAACTCGAAAAGCAAATGATCTGACTATCCTTATACCAAGTGATTTTTGAAAGACAATTTTAAAATTTAGAAACTATTACACAATTGGGATCTGATCCTGCAAACTGGCACATAACTAGTTTTGATATTTTACCTAATATCCTATAAGAGCTTTTTCATCTTGGTAGAAAGGCCTAAAATGCCTACAAAAGGCCTTTGCAGTTTAGGAATAAATATGCAAGGATGTACCTAAAACGCCTAAAAGAAAACTGAATCCCGCTCGCGATAGCCTCGGGGTTATGGAGAGGGCCATGCGTGAAATGAGCGGAACATGAGTGAAAACAGGCAGTAAACTTGAAATAAAAGCGGAATGAACCATGTTATTTGAGCACATAGTATCTACTTGAGAAGGACTTCGTTAATGGCGGGCAGGGAGTGCACGAAGTGTGCCGGCGTGACTGTATTCCACTTAAAACCAATAGCTCCTGTTCTCTTGGACCAAATGTTAAGTTGGGAGAATGCAGGCGACGGGTCAACTTTAACACAAGAAGGGAGAGAGCCCGGCTTCAGCCAGGCGATCCGACTGGTTTCCAATAAGGTTGTACCAGTAGATACATATTATTACTTGGCCATGCCATATTTTACGCTGAGAGCCTATTTCCGAATCGGCACAGATTCGGTACTTCGGACACACTTGCAATTCGAGTAGGACAGAAAAAGAGGAGGACAGCATGAGCAAATCCGAGCAATGAATTGAGACTTACGAAAGATTAGTGATCATATGTTTTCAGAAAAATAGCTCTTACAACAAACAAAACAACAAATGGGACCTACCAGCAACATGGGCAACATCGTGAGCCTCCAGAGCCGCCGAAGAAGCCCCCAAAACATGCCAAACTCGGTGTAATGAGTTCTAGCAGTAGCTGAAATCGAAAAAATTACAAATTTGACAATTGAAATCTTCAAAAACTAAATGTCAGCCACTTGAAAAACCTACTGTATATGTATAACGCGCTAACTCTGTCTTTTGGTTGGTCTGTGGGTGTTTTACCGGAAATGCAAAACTTCGGTTCCAATGGACCACTATAGTTCAAAATTAATGGGCATTAAGGCGGCAAGGTAGGAGTTCTGATGATAGGTGGCAGAATTAGACACTGCCCACCGGGTGGGACTTACCCGAAAAATATCAAATTGGTCCTAAAGCGCTACAATTGGTAGAAATTTGAGAGGTGAAATGGAAACACTGATGGTAGGTGAAAGGACACAAGGGGCGTGGCGTGAGCGAAAATATTTGATTCGGACCAGTTGAACCTTCAATGGGTCATCATTCTCAAGATGAACAGCAACAGATCGAGACTTCTAAATATAGGGATAAACATCGGCACATACTGAATAACACTAGCAACTCTGTCAAGTTTCGTTCCGAAAAGTATCCTTCGTTCAAAAGGAGGAGCGGACGGTTTCCCGCTCATGACAACTCTATCATAAGAAGGATGGAAGCCCAGCGTTAGCCGGGCGACCCGAGTGCTAAAATGATNCCTGATTCTCTACTTTCTTTTGCTTTTATTTGCGTTTGTTATTGTTTTGTGAGATTGTTGAGCGGATTAGGTCAACCCCATCAATGAATGACCCACAAAAACAGTTTAAATCTCACTGGTTCATGGAAATTGGCAGTATATTATAATATTTTGGGATACAACTGATTGTGAGTGGTAGAATCCCAAAATTACAAAGGTAATAAACAATAGCAACAGTAAAGGTTTTGATAGAGGAAAAGCACTTACCAGCGCTATCATGTCTTTCTCAGCACCAGGACAACTGTACGTCCACTGGCTTGAGGCTTTATAGTGGGTGATAATGGTGAACCTGAAAATCGTTCTTGCCAGTTCTAAGCTCAGAAAAAATGGCAGGAGCCGATGGAGCAGCCTTGGAAGTGGCAAGCTTTTTCCAGTGATTGCATCGAACCGTGATGGTGTCATAACTGGTCCCAGCTTTTGTCCATGTGGTCATATCCATTAATAACCATCCGGTGGCAAACGAGAGAATGGTATTGAAATGAAAAAAACGGTCGATCATTGTGCCGAAGGGATTCCAAGACTGGTTTTGTAGTTTTATCGAAAAGACGGATCGAGATTAATGGAGAACACCTACACAGCGGGTGACGGCCGACATTAATGAGATCCTGGCCTTCTATAGAAGCCAGCGCCTCTTCTCTTTTTCTTTCCCTTTTCCAAGGATTATTTGCACGATTACCTCAAATGTGTTCCTGTTACGTAAAAGAAGTTAACTCAAATAGTTTAGGCTCAGCTCGCTGGTTTTCTTCCAGGCTCACCAGTGGAGGCCAGCGCGTATTGTAACATGCTGAATGGAAATGTACGCTCAATACAATACAGTCTAAAGTGTGCTGAGCTGGCAAAGAAGGCGATGTGGAACTTCTGAAGCTAAAAGGGACAAATTTTTGGAGATTGCGACGGTGGAGGTAATGTGACGACTTCTTATTCCTACCTAGCCTTCGACTCCTCATTCTTACCTCTCCTGTGCATTTTCGGCATTATTATTGATTTGAGTATGTTTATACTGCTTTCCAATGGTCATCTCTTACAAATGAAGTGAAGAAGGCAAGATTTTAGAGAGCATATTCATGTTGTGTGGAGGGGTAATGGTTGGAAAGAATAAATTCGCCGCAAAAGTGGTTTGTGTTTTCAGAGACACAGTTCACACTAAAAATGGTTTCTGAGTTGTTCCTCTAGAAATACCCAATGGCCCTCAAGAGTAACAGGAAGGGCGCTGTCGAGTCAAAAAACTCAGCAGCAAGGACATAGTGGGAGCCCTGTTACCGGGTCGCCCGGGTTCTGTACCTTCCGATCGATGGTGTGAGAGACGAGTGTGGAAGCGATACAGTTTGCAATATTCGCTATAAGACTCACACACAATGAGCTGCTCGCCGAATAATGAGGCGACGTTTTTCTCCTCTTCTTTTGCTCTCTGTTATTCGTTTTGCTGCTGCAATCCTTTATTCAATTTTCTACCCTAGAGGCTGATAAAGGTGGGAAATTTTTAATGTTACTAGCGTTTCTGTTAACTTATGCTTATGAGTGAATGAACTGTAAGAAACATTTTTGTTCACCGCAGTCAGCTGTTCGCACCAGGGCCCACACGTACGCAATGGCAGACATTGTATGGCTCGTCCATACACTCCTAATTCATTTTTATGGGGGTAACGGATTTTCCTACCGGTTGCGGATGTTTGCTTTGCGGCATGCGGCAAATGTCACTGCAGTTACCGTACACATCCCGCCTCCCCGCCAATCGATAGGACGCAGTATTTTTCGTTGACTGCCTTTCTTTTTTGATTAGTTTTGATCATTTTTCTCTTTCTTTTTCATTCTTGTGTTTATTAGACTTGATTGATTGGAATGACTTCTCCCATATTAGAAGACCTTACTGGAATTGAAGTTCGCGGCCAGCCAATTAAAGCAATTAAAGGACTCTCCACATCACAGCTTGCGCGCTCCAATCTTCCACCGCGATCTTGCCATATGCGGCGGGTGCGTCGTGCGCGACGCCGTTTCGGGGGGAAGATACTGGACCCATTTTTATGGTTTGCTTCTCGTCCGATCCCCTTTCAACGATTTTTCTAAAGCCTTTTATCACCTGAAGACGCCGATTCGCGCACTTTCTTCTCCTTCTTCGCACTATTTTCCGATCGCATCTAAAAATATAGGCAGCTCTCCGGCTCGTGTCGCGTGCGCACCTCTTGGCCCATTGCCAAAAGTGGTATACTCTCCTCAGCTGGAAGTATTTTGCTACTGATTGCTACAATAATGCGTGGAAAACACTCTCTCATGTTCATCTCACTGTTACTGCCTAATGTTTGTTGATGGTGCTGTGAAGCTGACTTGCTTAGGAGTTTATTCGTGTTCCTAAGCTCCTCACTCTTACAGACACCTTCAGCATTAGAGTGTCCTCCTTGTCTGGGTAAGTTGGTCTACCTCCTCTCACCCCAATGCCATGAGAGCCAGCTTTTAAAACCCTCTAGGATAGTAGAAATGATTGCGGATAACTTTGATTATACCAACTATCGTAGGATTGGCAAAATACTATGGCTAAGGCCCATGCGACCGAGCCGTTCAAATAAACCTATGAAATGAAGAAATGATATTGCAAGGTGGATCGAAGTTACGAGATTAGTGTATGTGGGATGCGAAAAGGATAAGTGAACG